TGTGTGTGTATGTGTGTTTTACTTTACATAGACAATTGACGCTCGCTTTAATATTTGCGAGGGTTTTATTACTTGGGGGAGGAGGGGAGAACAGACATTGGCAATTTGAAATTCGCGCATCGTAGAAGCTAATTGTAAACATTTATCTAACGTGAAGGATTTAAGGGCACGGTAGATTTATTCGCTAGGCAGCTGCTTAATTACGCAGATTCCAAAGCATCATTAGCATTCTCAGTATTTAAGGTACACCAGAGAAGGCGGAAGTTTCTCTACTTCGATCTAACAATAAGTTCCAACTGATTTTTAGCTACGTAGTAGCTGTCAATTGTCGATCGATCGGTTTGTCGAGTGTCAAAAAACTTTAATTCAGAAGAATCAATGGATTGAATCTTCGTGGATGGTCCTTAATTGAAATTATGAATACAATTGCCAGATTTAAAATCCTCTCTATTGATTACTCAATCTTGAAATTATTTCAGTTAATGATTAACTAGTTAATTTTGAAATTATGTCCATCAATAATTAATTAGCCGATCTTGAAATTATTCCAGTCTATGATTAATCCAGTTAATCACGAAATTATTATTTCATCCAATCATTAATTAATCGATTTTGAGATTATTTCAATCAATGATTAATCAGTCAATCTTGAAATTATTTCAGTTAGTTATTAACCTTATGAGGATTCCATCAATCTTTATATTTACGAGTAAGGATTCTGATATGTTTGTCGTAGCGTTACCAAAAGTAAGCGACTTCTCTGAAGTCTGTAAATAGATTTATCGTCCGATACGGTAACAAGAATGGAAAAAATTACTCAGAATTTTTATATACTTACAAAAGATTATTAAATTTTCCTATCTCAGATGAGATAAATTGTCATAAAAAAGAAACGTTTTATATAGGGTGGCCACTGAAAAACTGAAGGATTTGAAAAAGTCATAACTTGTTCGTTTTCGATCTTTTCTATTTTCCTTCTTTTAGTTTTTCACACATAATACTGAAAAAAATCCATTAATTGTATTTCCAAATAAAATAATAAAAAATTTTAAAAAAGCATGTGTTTGTAAAAGTTATATTTATTTATATTTAATCATTTCAGTCTTTCAGTGGTCATCCTATATTTTATACTTGAAATATATATAAATAAATAAATATATATACACAGGAAGAAATACGCATGTGAAATATGTACATGTACATATCTAGTAAAAATGTGTGATATATTTCAAAACAATTTTTCAAACAGATTACGCATTGTTCTTGTTCTAAAAGAGTTTTGAAGAAAAGCAGTAAGACGCCTTTCTATTTTACTCTCGCCGGATCAAGCTCTTCCCATCAAACAGTCAAATGGAAAAATCAGTGGAGAATCAGCGAAAAGTCCGAAAAGTTCTAAAAATATATTGCGTCGTTCCGCGCGCCAGTTATACGTACGCAGTTTATTAAAGGGTTTGCGCGCAATTATAAAATGCCCGTATATCAAGCGGGAAAATTCGAAATGATATGTAATGTAGCAGAACGATGGTGAAAAATTGTTACGGTAACGAGCAGAATTGTTACGGTAATCTGGTAGAATGGACTGCGCGGCGTAAAGTGTTAATGACACGAAATGAAAACGATTCGTCTGAGACTAGTAAATCACACCGCCGTGAAATACACTAACCGCCTGGCCATTTAATTACATAGTAACACGGTGGCTGCCGCGTGGCATCGTCGCGTCAAACAGCCAGGCCATCGTGCATCTAAATTTTTGCCTGGGACTTTATATCGGCAGTTAACGGGGATGATATACGCCCATAACGCTTATCCAACGATGCCCACTAGCTTTTTGCAAACCGGCCACTGGCTTTAAGCCGCCCGCTCAACTTTTATACCGGTCCGCCAGCCCTGCTGTTTATGATCGTTGTTTCCCAGCATCGCTAAACACGTTATTCTTTAACCTCGTAGTCGGACAAATCGCCGGTTAACGTTCGATGTCGCAGCGCGATAAATAAAAGCAAGGTATCCTCGAAACGGTCGTCGTCGATTTTTACGAATCCCCGCCTCCGAGATTTATGCGCCGAAATGGTAAATGTCAGAGACGCGCTGTTCTCGGCAGTCATAATTTGAGCCATCTGATTCGCGGACGTTAACCGTGATTCATGGCCTCCTGTTATGTATGGTAAAAAATTGTTTGCTTTATTCAGCTCGCTTGGAGGGGGATTAAAAAGCGTGCGGGTGTGTGAATTTGTGGAATTTTTGGTACACGCGTAACCGCGTTATTAACGAGACCGTTTTAATTTCTATAAGTTCAGTATGTATATACGAATGTCTGAGTATTTAATATACACGAATAATGACTCGCGGAGTAAAAATCGAGTTATAGGCATCGGTAATAAAAATTCGAACACTTTGTTCGACGATACTATTACATTTTACAAATGGCGTCCTTCTGGAGCAACGATTGGCATTGGAGTATCACTTCGTATCATAGTTCATGTTTTCGTTATTCGTGTCTTATAAAACCATATCTTCATTGAAACAGAGATATATCAATTTTATTATTTTCTTCGCTGTTGGTTCGGGCCTTGCGAAATATTTATGTATAACTTCCGCATTTAGCTACGCCTATTTATCTTATCAACGCGCAAAT